GTCTAATGGAAGATTTTCTTTAACTCTGATTTGGATTAGTAGGAAGTTTACACAGCGGTAGATCTTTCTCCCTATAAAATGCTTTTCTAAATGTACACTACTGAAGAGCAAATAAGAAACAAGTCTCAAAGAAAAGGAATTGAACAGTGACTCCCACCTAGTGGTAGGGGAGAAAAAAATCACCTTCTATTGACAGTTACACAGTAAATTAAAAGGTTTCCTTTCTAGGACCTCTCCCTGCCTTTTATTTTCCTCCTTCCAGACTGAATCTTTGTGACGGATCAGGAAAAGAAATATTGATTATTATCAGCTCAGCTCTATATATGCTTTTCAATTTTTGCAGCATCTCTTCCAGTCTCTAGATGCGATGTGTTAAAATTTTCCTACTACCAAGTCAGCTTGGTCAATTCAAACTGATTGTTTTTTAAATCCAAATTTAACAGAGATGCCAACTTTCCTCTCAGTATCCCCTTAAAGACAATGCAATATTTTCATACTGATGTTTACACATATTTTTTGCAACTAAATCCAAGCTCTAGATGGTTCCTACTGTTCCTGAATATTATTTTATGGAATTACAGTATATTTACAAAAAAAAATTACTTAATTATGGATAACTTTTAATCAGTGGTAGGAACTTAAGATAGTTATATCAAGCTGTGGTGGTGCAGTGCTTAGAATGCAGTAATGCAGGCAAACTCTGTCCACAGCCAGAAGTTCAATCCTGACTGGCTCAAAGTTGACTCAGCCTTCCATACTTCCGATTTCTGGGGGCAATGTGCCGACTTTGTAAACTGCTCAGAGAGTGCTGTAAAGCACTATGGAGTGGTATATAAGTCTAAGTGCTATTGCTATTGCTGTATAGTCCCTTGCTATTCCCTGTGACATTTTACAGAAGTGAAAGTTGAACTTTAGAGAAGCAGATAGGAAAAGTATTGATGCCTTTCAATTTTGGTGGTGGAGAAGAGTGAGAATACTATGAATAGGCAACATAACAAACTGATAAATCATAAAAAATCAACCCCGAGTTCTTACTTGAGGCACCAATGACCAGGCTCAATATCTTACTTTGGACACATGATGTTAATACCCAGCTGTTTGGAAAAGGCACTAATGCTGGAAAGGTAGAAGGAAAGAGAAGAAGAGGACAACCAATAGTAAAGTAGATGGATTCCATTACAGTGCAATGAATGCACCATTGGGAGACTTGAAAGAACATGTTAGGGATACATCATTGTGTGTGGGGGGGGGGAATCTATATGGTTGCTAGGAATTGAAAACAATTTGAAATCATCCATCAATCAATAAGAGCTAAGAGCTGCAGCACATCTTTTTACAGGAGTACAGGAAGCAATTAAAAATTGAGACCGATCAATGATCCATCTAGTGCAGAATTTTCAGCTCTAACCAGTCTTCCAGTTTCACACACAAGTTTTTTCTAACCCAATTTGTTGATGTCAAAAACTTTGGATCATCTATTGCAGTGGTCCCCAACCTTTTTATCGCCGCGGACCAATCAGCCTTTGATAATTTTACCGTGGCCCGCTGAGCGCGCGCAGGGGTGGGGGCTTTGGGCCACACGTGCGTACCTGCGCGGGGCTCTCTTCCCTGGAGCCTTTGCGCACGGCCCAGGAGCCTTTGCGCTGCAGCGTTCATGTCCCCCGGCCGCTGCGCGGCCCGGTGCCAGGTACTCCACGGCCCGACACCGGTCCGCGGACCGGGGGTTGGGGACCACTGATCTATTGTATCACTGAACTAAAGGCTACCATGTCCCTCTAGTTCAGAGGGAGGCATATCCACTAAAAGTGTCCCAGTTTGCAGGAGCCCAACTGGTGGAATAGCAGTTGCTGCAGCCCAAGCAACAGGAGTATTCAGTTGTAAAGCTGGTTGCAGCCTCACACTAGTAACAGCAAGGAAAACAAGTTCTGCATTCATTGCTTGTATTGGCTACCATAACTAGACTCCAAAAACCTAGCACTGAATACAAACAACTGAGATCCAGAATGATGCTGCATGGCGTAGTGTAGAATAGGTCAGAATATAAACAAGGATTATTTTTTTTAAAAGCCAGAATTTGGGATATTGTATCTGTAGATGGCAGCAATGTTCACTGAGAAATCTGTAACTAGAAGCAATTCTATACCAATTATGTATGGCTACCAAATCACATAGCATAAACACAGATGACCACTGTGTGGCAGCAAAGCGTCAACACTTTTTTTATCCCTCTTCGCTGTCATATAGTAGTTTTCGGATTTTTTTTAAAGTCCAAATGTGATAGTCATACGCCATTTATTTAATTCTATCCCAACATTCATTCTGGAGTTCCAATAGTCCTTCTTTAACTACCATAGCCATCCTTTGAAATAGATTAGGCTGAGAGTGAGTGACTGGTCTACAATCATTTAGTGAGCCTCCGTAGGCTCTTATATTTTCACCACCAACTTACCCTGATTTCATACAGAATTGCTTCCAGCTGCACTTCATAATAAAAAATTGCTGCCTTATCATTGTGAATTTCACAGCTCAGAGATGCAGCTCCAACTGCACTATTATGAGTATTTGAGGTTGTGGAACAGCATTAACGTGTAAATGTATACAAATTAATCAGTGGTGGGATTCAAGTAATTTAACAACCGGTTCTCTGCCCTAATGATTTTTTCCAACAACCAGTTTGCCAAATTGTTCAGAAAGTTAACAACCAGTTCTCCCGAAGTGGTGCGAACTGGCTGAATCCCACCACTGAAATTAATGTATCATAGTTTTACTCTTCACAATGAAGCAGTACCATTCAGTAGTAGTAGTTAGTAGTAGTAAAAATACTAGGCTTTCTTTAGTGTCTTAATTTTTTCCACTTCCCTCACCGCTTGTCAGGAGACCTGAAGCCCAATCAGTTTTCACATCTCTTAATTTAAGGGCAATATGTCTCATTTTATTGTTATTTACATTCAAAATATATTTAAATATAATAGGAATGGAATATTTCAAGTCATTTTTCCAAGTCATTGCTGAAAAAATGTTTGCAATATATTTTGTCATGCAAGTTAGTAATATAAAGAGGTGAAATCATTGTTCTGTTTTCAAGTAAACATGGAACTAGTTCCAAGGATTTCCCCTTTTTGATATACAGTCAAAAGGAAACTGAGTAGCTGCTTAATATGCGTACAAGAAATTGCCACAAGATGATTGAGCAAGATAGCATTTTTTGCTCTTCAAACACAAAACAGAATATTTATGTTTGTTGCTAAAAAGCCCTCTAGGTTATTCATAATAATACAATGGGGTTATAATATTTTATCAATTACAAAGACGTGAAAGCATTTCCTTGATTCATTGGGCACAATGAAATTGCATTGGTGAAGATTATCTGCATACCACACTTGCAATCTTAAATAAAAGGATGTCTTCAGAGGCTCCTAATAATTGAATTGTCCTGAACTGTATCATGAGATACATTACATAATCCAATTTCCAACAACCTCTATGAGAAAAATCATGTTTTCACCAAGCAGATAAATCTAAATTTTCTATGAATAATTAATTATATTATAAAATACTGTACCACTATCCACAAAAAATACAATAAAATGTACTTTTTATGTTTATTGAGTGTGATCTTTTAGTTTTGCAGCAAGCTTCAAGACTGGAAAAAGTTTTCAGAGGACAGGGCTTGTAAGGTCTCAATACTCTACCACTCAGAAGGTTATATGGTGCACTCATTGCATACAGTTGCCGTTTTCACTTCAAAAATACTTCTTGCCTTCCAAAGTTTATTACAAACTCCAGGACACCATGGCTTTGCTTGTGCAATTCTCTTTATGCTATGATTATGGAGTTTATGGGGAAAATAGATTATTTCTTCTAAAATAACTTTCTATATATATATAGAATCTTATATATGATGCTACTCTCTAGAGACAAAAATACAAAAAAGATTTTTAAAAAGACTGAATACAAATATTGGCTGAATGATGAACACTGTCTTGATTCATGGTCAAAACTGCAGCTTGGGAAGCTGTGGTATAGATTCTGCAGCAATGGATAAGGTCAATTTCCAGCCAGCCAGATCCATGTGCTATAATATGAGATTTGTTAATGGAAAGTTCAAAGCTTTTATTGTCACAGGTTCTCTGACCTTCTGATCCAAGGTCAGTGGGCCCCAGCCGAGCACAAGCCTGCTTGGCGTTTAGGCAACCCACACACAAGCACACAATGGGTAGTGTTTGCAGTTCCTTATCACACACTTCCCCAGAAACTCCTACTACTAGAACTAGACTACTGCAATTCGTGTTACCTACTGCTACAGAAAAGCATTTCTGTCTATTAGCGCTAGGCTGCTCCCAGTGGCTCTATTCCCATAAAGCAATAGAAACTATCTGCCCTCTCATGTTCTGAACAATGCCAACATCATCCACACCCACTCAGCTGCATCTCTGTTTGGCTTTTACAGCTGTTCATTGCTGGACAGGTAGGCTGGCTAGGGAGAGGATTAGGGTTAGATTAGGTTAGGTTAGGTTATGGTTAGGTCTTAAAGGGGCAGGGCTCCATCAGTCCTGGTGCTAGCCAATTTTCTGGCAGCCTGCCCTCTTACATAAACCACTGAAACAATAAACCACATAAACTTTGAAGTAAGCATAAATGGATGGCAGTATCTACCCAATTGTGGCTGATTTTAAAAGTGATAAGCAAACTGGGTTGGACTTGGTTACTACTTATATGAGATACTATCTAGAAATCTTAAAGTTGTAAAACAGATTGGGAGACAATTATAATCTTTCTATATACTACTAAAACTCTCTTTGTATTAATCTGTTTGTCTGTTTGTACCCTCAAGATAGCCCAAATGATACATTTATACCATAACATTTTTTGAATCAAGGTACTAAAATCTGCTAACTTAAACAATATATTAAAAAATAGGATTCATGACTCCTGTGGAATTAAAATTTCCATGATGTTCAGACCATTTTCCCCCGTAAAATTATGGCCAGCATACTCACATTCACACGATCACAATTTCCGGTATTCCCCTATCAGCTTCCAACAAACAAAGTCAATGGGGAAGTTGGATATCACTCCTAGTACATCTGCCTTTTTGCCCTCTTGTGTCACTCTGTTTAGATAAGTAAACACGAACTTTTTATTGAGGTTCATTTGCCACTACAATTATTTTTTCTATTTATGATATATTTTATATCCTTCTCAGAATATATTCTTTTTATCTTCAGCATTGTCAGCATAAAATTTAATGTTCTTTCTAGAATCATCAAACTGTCCTTTATTTCTCTCAAATAATGACCCAATGGATCACAGGATTCTCTAGTAATTTTTAAGATCCACAGGGAAAAAAAAGAACTAATAAATGACTTACGTGTCACATTATGGAAGTCATTGTTTGATCTGATGAAACTATATCACTTGATACTGCAGAAATTTCAATGGATATATTTCTTAAAAAATATCCTTCTTAGAATATATTAGAATTTGGAAGAGTAAAAAATTGAGATATTGCTTACGATATTATCTACCAAAGTCTCATTTAGCTGTCATTGCTAACTTGAAGATTTTTATAGCATTTGGCTAGCCATGAAGTATGGCATTACCATACTGTAAGGCTTTGTTTTGAATCGATCTCAATTTCAGTCTGGAAAAAGTGTTAGAATTGGTAGCCATAAACTCCATGCTAATTATTTCTAAGAAAATATGCTTTTAAAGATTAGTGTTACCTTTTTAATTATTTCAACTAAAATTCAGGAATCATGAGAATTTTTGGACCAATTTTGTAAGTGTGAAAAGTATGGAATTGGCACTCTTTGATTTGATAGAGCTAAACCCAAATAATAGTTATTCAGATGAGTAATTTTATTAAATACAGAAAGCACAATATATACCCATCAGTCATATTACACAAGAGTTTCTATGAAATTAGCTATGGTGTTTTTTTACTTTTAATCGTTTGGATAAATTACAAAAGAAAGTTATACATGTGAGTTCTGGACTTATTTTAACCTTAGGGATTTTAATTAATTACATGATTTACATCCCAAAGAAAATCTAAAAAATGTCTTAGAACTTCACAACAAGAATTCTTATTAGAAGCCCAGCTTTCAAATACTGTAGGTCGGTTCTTATAAAGAAATCATAATGAAAGCATCTTCAGAGTGTGCAAAGCATCCTTTGAAAGAGGGCTGTAGGTTTCTGAAATCGGAAGGAATCGGAAGTCTCTTGATTGATTCTGTAGAATAATTCCGTCTTAAAACTGATTCCGGGTTCATTTATTGCCGTCGCAAATTACAGACAAATACGAGGTAGCGTTGGGAAAGATTCGCCTGAGAAACTTACCGCAATTTTAAGTTATCTAATATTCTGCTTTTGTATCTCTATGGAGGACCCCGCCCACCTCCTCCGTCCTCCCAGGATCACCGCATCTGCGCTTCCGTTTTGTCACGTGGCCGCTGAGAGGCGGAGTTTCCGCGGCGCCGCGAAGTGAGAGCAGCATGGCGGCCTCTGCGAAGGCTCAGCGCCGGAAACGCGGAGCTGCGAGCCAACTCCCCAAGACCGACAACACGGCTCCAGGTGACACCATCTTCCCGTGTCGAAGCGTGACTGCTAGTTGGACGTACCATGGTGGCTTATGCTTCTTTTTTTTTAAAGGAAGCACTTGGATGCATATGCTAATTTGTGTTGAAGTCGATTGTGAATACTATCTATCTATCTATCTATCTATCAATCTATCTATTAATTAATTATATTTCTATACCGCCTTTCTCCCGTAGGACTCAAGGCGATGTACAGTCATATATGTATATGTGTGTGTATATATATATATATATATATATATATATATATATATATATATATATATGTATATAAAAATAAAAATTCTATGTTGAGGTCGCTGGGTGCTAATTACCGTAGCTGGGCTTCAAAATCCGCATCACTAAGAAATGCAAAGCGCCTTTTGGCCGTCCGTATTTTTGCAGACCAGATAGGGCAAGGGTCCCCAAACTTGGCAGCTTTAAGACTTGTGGACTTCAACTCCCAGCTATGCTGGCTGGAGAATTCTGGGAGTTGAAGTCCACAAGTCTTAAAGCTGCCAAGTTTGAAGACTTCTGAGATAGGGTGTTCTTGTCCTCTACGTGGGTGATAACCATGCAGTCAGTGGATGTCATTTATTTATTTTTAAATTAAATTCATCTTAGAATTATGTGCCTGATATTTATAGCTAACTTTTTAGTGTGTTCAGATTTGTTTTTCCTTCAATATACTATTAACTGCTGTGAATGCTCTTGGGCTAAAGTGCGAAATAGCTAAATTCTGAGTGGCTGTGCTTGTCTTTCAAAATATGTATAAAGGCATACCATACCATAGTGTCGGCCCTCCAGCTTTTCTAGTATTATATATTAAAGTTCTATATATGGGGAGACAAAGTACTTTTGTATGTCTAGAATGAGAGGGAACGGTCAAATCACACTGGTGTCTGAAAGAAAAGAGACACTGCTTCACTGTTACCTGTTTTGGGAGTAGGTTTTTTTTTTTTTTTGCAGCAGCAGCAGCAGCAAGTCTTAGGAAATGCCCTGCTTTTAGAACTTTTTTCCCAAAGCTGCAGTGTAAACATTCTGAAGAGGATTGCAAGAAAATACATAGAAGTCCCCAGTTATTGAAAAAAAATTGGCTTATGTAGAACTTAGAATAACTTTGTCATTTTGAATGTACACTAATTGGCATACATTAAAATGAAATTTCATTGCATACAGCTCTCAAAGGGTCTCTTTTTAATTATCCTTTTTATGAAAGTCTAACAATGGCTGCATTTATAACCAGTAATTGCTGGATTATGGTAGATTTGCCGCCAACAAAGGGGCAAATGCATCTCCTTGCCAGTTGTTCTTTTTTTTGCTCCAGATTGGCACTATCATAGATAGCGCTGCTTCATTTTGATCAGCTAGGGAACCTCATTGCTAGATGCACACTTGAGTGCTATTCTTTCTTTGAAGAGGTAGAATAGAACTTGTTGCTGAACTTTTTGTCTCTCCGGCTAATAATCTTCAATCCAAATGTTTTTTTGTTTGAAATATTTTTGCCAACAGAAGATGAATCAGGACTTCTCACTGTGCCTGATGGATGGAAAGAACCACCATTTACCAAAGAAGATAACCCTAAAGGGCTTCTGGAAGAAAGCAGCTTTGCTACTCTTTTCCCTAAATACAGAGAAGCTTATTTGAAGGAATGCTGGCCATTAGTGCAGAAAGCTCTGAATGAACATGTAAGAATCTTTACTTACATTTTCATAATGTTACCAATCCACTTAAAAAGCATGGATTTTGAGGAAAAGTCATGATTTAGCTACATTGGTGAATAACAGGTATTTACTATAGATGATTCTCTTATCCACTGTCTACTGTGTGAATTCCCAAATATGCAGATAAAGAGGCCTGTAGTAATATGTTCCGTAAGCAAGCTATTTCTATATTCACTGCACAAGAGTTCCCATAATATTTAGATACAGTGTGTATTATATCAATTATTTAGAAATAAAAGTATTTCAGATGATTTATTAATAAGCTTATGTTACAAACATGTTTGAAAGCAAAAGGGGTAATACTGATTCCAAGATTTTGGGGTCCCCAGAGCAGACTGTAATTAATGAGTTACATGGCTTAAAATGTGCCCATCTGATCATCCCCTCTGTTCTACCATTTACTTGATTCTTCTGGCTCCAGATTGACTTCCCAGGTAAAAAATCCAGGCTATTTGGAGATGGCAGAGAATAGATAACAAAAAGAAAAAGTAGGAAATAGGACCTGGAGATTTTGAAGGCTGCAGTGGAAACATCATTGGAGCATGGGCTATGGTTCCTAATTGACAAAACAAATCCAAACATTCTTCATATAAAACCTTTTAATTTAAAAAGGCATCTGCTTAAGGTTTCTAAGTAAAACACTTACCATTATGAAAATCTTTAATTCTTCTTTCTTCCTAGATACTAATACTTTTTTTTTGTTTGTAAATTTTACTGATCACATACATTTCTGAGATCATTAAGAATTTGTTCTGTTCTTCTGAGAATAGTTTCTTGTCTTATGCTATAGCATATAAATGCATCTTTAGACCTAATTGAAGGAAGCATGACTGTCAGCACAACAAAGAAGACCTTTGATCCATATATCATCATCAGAGCACGAGATTTAATAAAACTTCTAGGCAGAAGTGTTCCATTTGAACAGGTTTGTTTTACTAACTTTTTAAACTTTAATTCTTTAATTTCAAGAGCTCTGATAACAAACTCAACCTGATTAAGAATCCTGATTCAGAAGTTAAAAGAAAATGAATATGTTATAATAAAATACTTGATTATATATCTCTGATTTCCATTCAGTCTGTACGTGTCCTTGAAGATGATATTGCATGTGACATCATTAAAATAGGGTCCCTGGTCAGAAATAGAGAAAGATTTATAAAAAGAAGACAGAGGCTTATTGGTCCAAATGGATCTACTCTAAAGGTATGTCTTGTTCTTTTAACTCCTATGCATGCTTATTCAAAAATAGGTCCTCTGTAAATGTGATCTGAATGCTTGTTTTCATATAAAGTAAAATATGTGCCTATGAGAATTGTATTCTGAAATGTATACTGTTATTTTATTTTGATGTAGGCGCTAGAAATATTAACCCGCTGCTATATCATGGTTCAGGGGAACACTGTTTCAGCTCTTGGACCTTTTAATGGCTTAAAAGAGGTAAGATCACCTTGGGATAAAACATTTTGCACTTTCTATTCAAGTATTTCATTTAAATTTGTTAATGTTACATATTAATATAAAATGAATATGCATTAAAAAGAAAGAACCTATATACTAGTCGATAATAAAGATTTGATGTTGGGAAATTACCTAAGGAATCAGTAGTTATATTGAAGTTCTATATATTGTATTAACAGAATTTTATCTAATGAGCTAAACTCTATGGCTATGCTGTGCAAGACAAAACACGAGATGGAGCATTGTATCAGAATGTCTTGCTATCAGAAATCTGATCATTGCCAAACAAATCACAGTATGCAATTTAAGAATAGAATACAAATTTGACCTGATCCAAATTCTTACTTTGTGCAATATATATAATTTAACTACCAGGTACCAATCTCCTGTTCCAGATTATATCTTCATTAGTTTTCTTAAATGACTAAAGGATACATAATCGTACTTACAGAAAATAACATTGTTTTTAAAATAATCTTCCAGTGTTAGAAATTTAATCATCTAGGAATTAGATACTTTAACTCAGGGTAACTAACCTGTATCCTACAGGTTACATGTAGCCTTTACCATTCATTAGCAATTCCAGAATTTTCTCCCCCTTCAGAGTATAAGATACAAGTTTTGCTTCTTAATATTTCCCCCCCTCCTCTCTTACTGCCCAACAAAAAATATCCAAAAGGAGAAATGGAACCTAAATTTCAGTTCTACACCTGCAGGACTTGGTCAGGGCAGAAACAGTATACACTGAAAAAGTTTGCTTACCTTTAGTTTAAATCATTAAAATTAATCAGTTTGCAATCTTGTCTTTTTAAAAAAAAAAATAGGTTAGGAAAGTTGTTTTGGATACCATGAAGAATATTCATCCCATATATAATATCAAGGTAAAATAAGAATATTTGATCTAAAATCATTTTGGCTGACTTGTTGATGTGTTATCTTTTTAGCTTCCCTTTGAACATGCTGTGTTTTGGGCAGAGGAGTTGTATGTTTTCCCAGAATTCTGCAGTGAAATTGATTTAATTGAATCCCAAACCCAATATTCAATAGACATCAGAGAATGATAATAAATCCATCAAATAAAAATAAATTAATGATATCAGTTCTACAGAATGCAGGCTATAATTCTGATTTATTGTAAGCCATGGCCAGGGAATGCAGTAACCTTGCATCCTGAATTGGATTCTTAGCTGTTTTATTTTCAGTTTCCCTGCTGTTCAAAATGGCAAAAATTCCTCCAACTGCCCAAGGGAGAGTCCATGAAAAGATCGTGGAAGTTTTCTAAACCAGCAGCCTCTCAGTCAGAAGAGTATAGATTACAAATTCATTTGAACACAAAATTCAAATAAATGTGCCATTTGCTTCTTATTTTTTTGCAGTTTATTGGTTCTACAGGTAGTCCTTGACGTACGACCACAATACAGTCCAGAATTTTGATCATATGTCATTGGGATCATTAAGCGGGTATCCACATGACATGGCTCAATTTTAGGACCATGTCATGGCTTTCCTTAGGTGACAATGCAGATTGTTAAATAGAGCCTGGCATACCTAAGGCAGTGAAGCAATCCTCACCTAGTGCAACCATGTGCAAGTTATGGGGGTCCTATAGTGTGGCTGGTTTCATTTAAATGGAAATGGCTTTTTCTATTGAAGCCAATCTCCTTTAGGAATGTGTGCTTTTGTTTTAACCCACAAAAGTCAAGCCAAAACCTCTTAAAACCATTGGGCTTAGCAGCCATACTGAAAAGTCAGCAGATTGTAAGTCTCTTTATTCAGCAGTGTCAGTTTTGAATGTTAGATGAAGGAACTGTCATGTTCAGGACTACTTGTTTTAAAAATAATCTGAAGAGAAGGAATCATTAAATTGAGCTAATTTTACTTATAATTGGATCATTTTCTCCTGTATTAATATGTACAGTTATTAAATGAGTCTATTTTATATCTGTGATATGATACAATACCTGATTTTTCCTTTATATAAATTAATAGAGTGTTTCTTCTAACTTACTCCTTGATGTTTTAATATGTTTGAAGACACTAATGATTAAGAGAGAATTGTCAAAAGATCCTGAATTAAGAATGGAAAACTGGGAACGTTTTTTGCCCAAGTTCAAACATAAGAATTTGAACAAACGGAAGGAACCAAAGAAGAAAAATGTCAAGAAAGAATACACTCCTTTCCCACCTCCACAACCAGAGAGTCAGGTTTGTTTAATCTGAAATTTTACTGAACAACCTAAAGGAATTTCCTGACAGCTAATGCCTTTAATACATGGATACCAAACTAAGATGTACCAGATGTTTAAGAGAGAAGGTAGCCTTCAAATGTGGCTAGTGAGGGAGATGGGCAGTTCCAAAATGTGATAAATAAACCATAACTCTATATCATCTGAATGGCACAGTTTCCCCATTCCTTATGTTAGTGTATTATGAAATTTAACCAATGTTTCCCTATAAATATAGCCTAAAGATAACAATAACCAATTGCAGTTTATTGGAAATAATTGTCTTTCATTGCAATATATGTGTGCATTGATTTGCTACCCAAAATGAATTTAGTAGGTTAAACCAATAGTATTAATTGATTGTGTATAAATTAAAAGTTTTATGTTTAATAGTAACTTCAATTTTAATATCACTTGGCTTTGATGTTGCATTATAAAAACTATTAACTTCTCATTTTTTAAATAAGGAATCACAGCAACTGATTTTTTTTAAATATGGAACCAAGGCAACAATTTTTACTGTGGAATATGTATGCTCATACTATTTTTACAGGTTGATAAAGAATTAGCAAGTGGTGAATATTTCTTGAAAGAAAGTCAGAAGAAGCGTAAGAGAATAGAAGAAATAAAGGTACAGTCCCTTGATTTCTTCGTTAATTAACATACTTGCTGGTTGTGTCCAGAATAAAGATTGATTTGTTAATTGAAATACATATTTAATTTTGTATATGCTACATGATCTTTTTTTATTTTAGGCAAAGCAAGCAGAAGCAATTAGCAAGCGGCAAGAGGAGAGAAATAAAGCTTTTATTCCACCTAAAGAAAAGCCTGTTGTAAAACCAAAGAAAAGTAAGATTGATTTCTTATTTTTCTTAATGTTTTATAAAGGACAGTCTCCGTATTGAAAGGAAGCATTTTGATCTGTTACTTACAGAATAAATTACCACTTCCAGGGCTCTCTGTTGAGAAGACTGAGGGCCAAAAATATAAATGGAAGTTTAATTTGCTAAAAATATAATTATATTCTAATCCAAGAAAATACATTGTTTTTTGAAATACATATGGTATCAAGAATATCTCTCTCTTGACATTTATATTCTGAATATGCCTGAAAAGTTAATTTATAAAATTAAGAAGTTGTGATATGCAAGACCAAGAACTGATCCACCCCATAAATAGTATTTTAAGCGAGATGGGATAAAACAAAGTTCACTGATATTAAAGGACTCTACTCCTATAGCATGGACTCTACCTTTTGTAGACAAAAACAGTTAAAAAATTCCTTTGTAAAGTTACCTTCAGATAACTTTGATTTTTATTCTCCCAGAGTTCCTATGCTGACTGATTAACTATTACCGGTAGTTTAAGACCAAGTTTACTATTCAGAGCATTAATAACTAGATTAATCTGAAATACTATATTCATAGGCTTTGGGAGTTTTTTAAGTTTAATTCATAGCTTTGGATCCAATCTTATGGTTGAATTAAAAGCTTACATTGTAAAATAATCTCTTTAGCAACATCTTTGTAGGGCACTTTAATATAACTGGATTCATTAGCTTGGCATGCAACTGATTGTTTTCGTGTTTTATGCTTTCATTGAAAAGTTTATTTGTTATTTGTTATGCTTGTTTGTTTGTTTTGTTGTTATGCTTGGAAATGTTTTCTATATCTCTTGGATAAGGTAATAAGAAAAATATAAATATACTCTTTTACTCTGTAGCGACAACTGAAACAAAGATTGATATTGATGCAATTAAAGAAAAGATTAAAAAAGCAAAGAAGAAGAAGCTTGGAGCACTACCAGAAGAAGAAGTTAAATTAAAAATTGCAGCACGTGAAAAGAAAAAGAAACCATCTTTAAAGCTATAGCACTTCACTTTTTGCAAGGAAGAAAGCTATGAACTCAGTTAATGTAGAAGATGAAAAGTTGCATTCCTTGAGAGAAGAAAGGAAAAATACCTTTCCAGATTTTTAATCTAAAACTGACAGTCCTTGCTCTGTTGTATTTTAAGCAATATAGGAAATATTTCCATACATGTGATATCCATTAGAATAAAGAGTTGACTTATAGTTATTGGTGTAAAATGACAGTATACACAGAATTATCATTGAGAAGATTTTGTGCAGTGTACAAATAATTAGCAACAAACTTGGTTTTATTGCATGGGACTCTGAAAGATAGTTATCTAGAACATTACAGGAAATAACAGGTTTTCTGAGGGAAGCTGAAACATTTTCTAAATAAATGTATATTGCTTTATTAATTTATGGTTTTTGTCTACTAGACTTTCATAAACTATATATTTCCTCAATCTTTTTGGAAGGGAACTGCTTTAGTTTGTTTATATTACTGGAGAATTTTGCTTTCCAAAGGCTGACTGTTGAGTTACTTTTTTTTATTCAGATCAACAAAGAGCCAAGAGTATGATAAGCAGAGTAGAATGGTACTTTGTGAATGTTGTTGTCAATAATAACTTTATGTTCGTTGCATGTTTACCTGTGGAAGAAGACCTTTTTCTGCTATTTGTACTTTTTTAATTCCTAAAAAACATTTTGAACATGTATCTAAAAATCATGGATGTCTTACTATTCTTATCAATTCATTGTTTAATACCTTACAAAAGTGCTTATTTTTTGTTCCAATTTATTTATACATATACAGTCTGGGATAATGTTGCTTCAGAAAAAAGACAGTTACAAAAGTTATTAAAAATGAAGATGTTCTCAGGACTAGAACAACGATGCAGTAGGTATCACAATATGGCTTCACCCATACTTCACCTACAAATAAATTATTTAAATAAGTTATTTACAGTTGCATCTAGGTTAATGACAAATCAATATAAACGTAAAAAACTTGTAAATTTGGAGCTTCCTAGCTAGATAATTAAAGATTGGTATTTCATTCATGGAAGTTCTGTTTTGAAAGGGTTTTTTTTTTTAAAGACCTTAACTTGTGACAGGAGAGGGAAGAAGAAATGCATGCTAGACCTTTTACTTACCACAAAGTCTGTCTATGCAAGGCTCTTTGTAACATTCACTGCACGTTACTCCTGATTTATATGGCCATCTTGGATAATTCCCACTGCAAAACAACAATTTTGTCAGCTCACTTGATACAGAGACAGGAGAGAAGGTTGAACTACTCTTCTTTCAGGTCAGTGCTTTAACTGAATTATAATCTGGAATAATTTTTGGTAAGTACTGGTCATTAAAACTACAGAATGGTGTTACTAGAAACTAACACAGCCAAATACAATAGAAGATTTAAATCAAAGAAATGGACCCTTGAAACTGAAGCTGGAAACCTATTTGCCAGTATTTTTTATTATTTTCAAATTATTTCAGTTTGATTTATGAAAGGACATTGAATTGAATTGTCCAGTTTATATTAAAGGCAAAAAATGGTTATTAAATATTCAGTAATGGTGTTAAGTGCAATGAATTCCTTTCTTCTTTGTCAGCCTTTATGTTCTGCTACTATTCTCACCTTACATAAAAGGGAGATTGAATATTAACTTTGCTTTAAACTTTTCAAACCGCTAAACAAGGAATAGTATTTAAATATAGTATTCCCCAGTTTTTATGTGCTCAACACCAATAAATGAATGGATGTTTTAAAAAAAACACCACATCAGTGAAATCTATAATTATCAAAATACTATCCATTAAGTGACTAATTGAGAACTTCACATACTGGGCTGAGCTATGGCCTGAACTTCAAGGTAACACATGAACAAAAATTAATAGTTTAAAAAATGCTTTCCTGGAATTTTTTGCTTTATTTTTGCTATGCTTGTTCTAATTCAATTGCTTATAATGATATTTGAAGTTCATTGTGTTTACGCAAGTTACAATGATTCAGTGATGTTGGACTCTAGCAGTTCCCACCCATCTTGAATCTCTTAACCTTATATTCTCCATGATGGCTTTTATGAGAGATTCTTTTAAGATGTTGGTTTTAGACTATGTTTTGTCCAATACTTATTTTTTTTTTGTTTCCAAATAAAGTTACAAAGGAGTTTATATGTTATAACTTGTGCTACTGATAAACTCTTCAAAGAGGAAATAAAGCTGCTTCCTTTCTTAGCCACATACTTCAAAATTATTAGGAACAGGAAGTGACATGGCATTTATTTTATTTCCACTTTTTTTTTTGCTAGCAAGTAAGGACACAGGCTCTGTGAGACTTATCTCTCTCATATGATGGTATTAAAACGGTGAATACCAGGTAAAGGTCTCCCAAGAAAGTATGTCATGGCACTGTAACTATAATAATAAGGCACTAAAACAGGGTTAAGATGTGTAAAATCAGAAGACTTTAGGAAAAGTCTTTTTCAAATACATTTCTACCTGTCTTTTTAAAAAATTCCCAGAGTGCCTTAGTACATCACCTTATAATAATATAACAAAAAACCCAGAGCCTTAGCAGTAATAAATAATTACATCCACCAAAATAAAATGGTGAAGCTCAGCTGAGAATTTAATTATTTGAAAAGCTTATAACAGATTAACAGAGTTGGAAGGGACCTTGTAGGTCATCTAATCCAACCCCCGCCTAAGCAGGAGACCCTATACCTGTGATGGTGAACCTATGGCATGCGTGCCACAGGGGGCACACAGAGCCATATCTATGTGCACACAAGCGTTGCCCTAGCTCAGCTCCAGCACGTATGCATGCGCCTGCCAGCTGATTTTTGCGCCTTCCAGGCTCACTGGAAGTCAGGAAACGGGCTGTTTCCGGCCTCTGGAGGGGTGGGGAAAGCCGTTTTCGCCTTCCCCAGGCTCCAAGAAGCTCTCTGAACCTGGGGAGGGCAAAAAAAATGGGCCTACCGTGCCCACCGTGCCATCACTTGCCAAAAGCGGGGGGGTCACGTGTGGGGCGGGCACATTGAATTATGGGTGTGCAACCCCCCCCCTGCACTCTCCCCGCTTTTGGCACGCAATGGCCATCGCTGCCCTACACATTTCTGACAAATGGCAGTCTAATCTCTTCTTGAAAGCCTCCACTGATGAAGCTTCCACAACTTCCGAAGGCAAGCTGTTCCATTGGCTGATTGTTCTCACTGTCAGAAAATTCCTCATTTCTAGGTTGAATCTCTCCTTGATTAATTTCCATCCATTATTCCTTGTCTGGCCTGTGGGTGCCTTGGGAAATAGCTTGACCCCCTCCTCTCTATGCAGCCCCTCAAATATTGGAACACTGCTATCATATCTCTCCTGGTCTTCTCTTCACTAGACTAGCCATGCCCAGTTTTTGCAATCGTTCATCGTATGTTTTAGCCTCCAGTCCCCTAATCAATTATAATCAAAAAGTTCATCACAGTCAAGCATAATGGGCAAGGCAGAGAGAGAGTGAGTCCTTGGAGTCATCTTCCAGTAGAATTATACAGTTGCTGCTTGCAATGCTTTTGTCCTGTCAGGCCTTCCATTAGTACAGTGTTTCTCAATTTTGGCAACTTTACATATCTGAAGTATGGGAAAGTTTAGCCTAAATTATTTAGGGTTTTAGAACTTGCCCCAGCACTTTAAAAGGATCCAGAATATTAATAGGATTGATTTCCTCATAATTCAGCCCTTTCCATGTAATTACAGTTAAAGTAATTTGATATGGATAGAACGGCTAAATTTGCATTCTAAAGCTAGAACTCAACATTTGTTTTTACTGTGGGTTTTAATCTTCAATTATAATTTTTCATATCAAAGGAGTAAATGGGCCTGAATACACATAGGTACCAGTTTCTCAATTCCTAAAGGAGTTAAAGATTTTCCTTCTAAGATAATTTCTGACAAATTGCAATTTAAAATTCTTACCCAGGTCCATAGTCACAAATGAAGTGTGCAGCATTAGATCCATGAAAGCCTTGAACTATAGGACAAAAATGAACAGCACAGCCAACTTTGTAGGTTTCTGCCCAAACCATCTGAAAATAAAATAGTATATTCTGTGGTAATTTAGTATATACAATCAGCCCACAGTTGTGCTAAAAATAGGACACCTGCTATGTAGCATTTTCTTTAATGATGATGACATATAATGTTAATGTTCAAAATATTAACAAAGAATTAATTTACAGGCATACTAAATCAATTGCTAACAGCTAATATATTGAACTAGGCTTTACAAACTTATACTAAGTACTCTTGCTGCTTTGTCTGACCAAACTCACTGCTGCTGTTTTTTTCAGATCGGATGCATAGACTTAAGATTATGAAATTATTTTGAAAATTATTTTTTCATATCTAAATACTAATAAAACTTTTCAGAATAAATTTCAGCTTTTTTACATAGACTGTGATGGGGATAGGGAAGGGTATTTTTGTGTGATGAATCTGTAGATTTATTATGACTGAAAAGTGTTTCCTTAAAAATATGGAAAGTTGTTCCCATAGTCAGAAATCTGAATAAATGAGATTTAACTTTTGTTTACTCCCAAATTATTTATATACTAAAAACAACTGATAAAAACTTATCTGTGACTTTATCATTCCATCGAGTATCATTAGAAATAGATGATTTCTGATTTATTGGCTAGACCCAAAATATTACAGAAGGAACATTTTCCGTGATTGGGCAAAGCAATGTATTGTGTATTTCTTTTTCCTTCAGGTTATTAAATAAAATAACTAGCCAGTCTTGGTGGCGCAGCAGACTAAAGCACTGTTAAGTAACACCAGCTGCCTGCAATTACTGCAAGTTCAAATCTCACCAGGCTCAAAGTTGACTCAGCCTTCCATCCTTTCGAGGTAGGTAAAATGAGGACCCGGTTTGTGGGGGCAATAAGTTGACTTTGTATAAAAAAGAACACCGCTTGGGGTGGGGGGTGAAAGCCCTACTAAGCAGTATATACAAAAGTATGAAGTTGGGACTGGTGGGGTGGGATTTGTGGTGGCTCAACATTTGCCGTTATAGATTGGTCACCTTTTTTTTGCCTAGGCAATTTTAAAGTACAATTGCAAGCTTGCCAAGTGGAATCAAGCAATTTGGAAGTTGTAACCACATTAGTCAATTTATTTTTAAATAACTTCCAACTGCTATTTTTAGAAGTCATATTGCAAGATATAATTAATGACTTACCTGAGTATAGTGCCCACATACATGTTTACAACTTCGAGTAGCATAATTGTAATCTTTGACTTCATTGTACCAAGAAGTGAGGGCTGAAGTCACATTAAAAACCCAAATGGTTCCAGTCCAAATATTTTCTCCAACTATTGTGAAGTTTGGGTGGGCCTTCCCTGGTGACTTGAGATCAGGATTATGATTAAATTGGCACATATTTGCCCAGCCAAAAGCAGTCTTTGCAAGATCATGGTCCCAGCTCTATAAAAGCATAATATATATTATGATCACTTTATTTGATATTCCTGGATTATTTATAAAAATAATGCAATTGTCTTTTACAAAGTAATTCCCCATCCCACCCTGCCACATACCGGTAGATTTGTATATAATTTTTATCTCTCAGTTCTAACTCACTTCTACTGCGGATTGGGGAATATATAAACCAGAATGTTCAATGTCTCCTGTCCTGGCTTTGCACTCTGCTTTGTAGTTTTTACAAAAACGAGCTAGCTGCCTGCTTGTTCCTGACTCATCAGTATGGATATGAATGTAACTATATAAATAGATGTGCAAAAATGTAAAAAATTGACATTATTATGCATTGCACTGTACCATATGTTGTAGAATAAACTACAACTACACTAAGACAAAATCAAATAAATCATTATGTAATCTGTGAATCCAAACTGGCATACTAGTTTTGAAGAAAAGTCAGGAAAGGCATAAACATTTTATATATTATTTCCTTCTTTATAAAGTAACAGGCTATTAGTGGGAAGAGGATCCTGTGGGACCATGGCAGGTTATTCATTTTGCATCACACTGGTTGTGATTTTCTTCTCACATCTGCTATTTAAAATTTGCCTCAATAGCTGGTCACATTAAATTTAATCTCTGGTTAGACACTGGTTCTCAGTCTTTCAGCTAAGATCAACCATGTGTGTAGTCCATTCTCATAAAGTGCTTAACTGGACCAAGTAATCCCTCATGGCTTAGATTTACCTATAGGGTATTCAGACTTGGCCATAGGATATTCAGATTAAACTGATTCTAGCCAGTCACTTGGGTAGAACTAGAACAACTAAAGCCAAGGCAGTTGCCCCCTTTTGTCTATGTAGACCACCAAGAAAGGGCTACGAGAAACAGCCGATATATTCATTACAGAGCTCCATGACAAGGCCCAGAATGGAACATACACCCCAAACATTGGGTGGCTTGTGATAATATGACGCATTGTCAACATGTTCTTGAAGCCAAGGTTCAGGGATGCTAGTAGCATTTCTTGGAGAAATTATTTGGTATTCCCCAAATAATAACTTTAGACCCAATTGGTGTGATTGTTTGCTGCACAAATGATCGGTAAGTTTAATGACACGGTTATCAGAACATGGCTTTGATACAAGGTTAAGGTGACCAGATTTTAACATTGGTAAAGAGGGACACCATTGTGGGCGTGGCTTATTTTGTGGGCATGGCTTGGAGGTCATGTGACTGGGTGGGCATGGCTAGCTGGTCATGTGACCGGGTGGCCATGGCTATGTGTATAGGGACTACTCAGAGGGCTGAAAAAAGTCATTTCTGATAGGTCCTCGCACTTTTGACTGGTCCTCACACTTATGACCGTCCTCACACTTATGACCGTCCTCACACCTATGACCATCCTCACATTTATGCCCGTGAAGCATTCTTAACAACCATGTCACTCATTTCACAACTGCTTCTCTTCACCATTCTCTTTCAACTTGCTGAGACTCCGGACGGCGTGGGACGACTCTGCCCAGCGCAGAGCAAGTCGGCTGCAGCAACCTTTCAATTTAAATGAAATCAACTCCAATAACCATCGGGAGATAATAACTTGAACTTCTAAATCTTGAAACTGCAAGTATTATTATTTTTGTGACTTTTTGACTCAAAGTATAAGTGTGACTGAGCGGAAGCGGCTTGAAAAATGGCACCCGGCTTTAGCGTTACAAGCTGAAAGTGAGAGTGGATTTCTAATGTTACTTCAACTAGCTACAAAGTTGCGCTGTCTGTAACGAGGAAAAAGAAAAGAGAAATTTTTTTTTTAAAATAAGCCTGAGCTTGCTTCAATTTAAATTCTATCTCCAACTTGATTAAACCTGGGGGATTTTTTTAGAGGACTTTGTGGTGGTGGAAAAGGAAAAAGGATCTCCTTTTTCAGAAAAGCCAGTCTACGTGGCAGAATGGCTTCCAAGCCTAAACAGGAAGGAAAGGCAGCATGGGGGGGATCCCCCACACGCAAACCTGAGCAGCAGCAGCCTCCCAGCCAGCAGAGTCAGAAAAAAGATTTTGATGTTGAAAGTTTAAAAGATTTCATTACTCAGGCTCTGGATGATAAATTTCAAAAGTCACAACAGGAAATTAAGCAGGAAATTAATGAAATTAAAAAGGTGGTGCAAGAGAAATATGACAAGGTGACTAATAAATTAATGACTGTGGTGTCTGGTCTATCAGAAGCAATTATCCGAACGGATTCTAAGTTGGAAGAATTTAAATCAGAAATGAATGTTAAAATGAAGGATACTGATTATAAAATTTCTGATGCTGATAATAAAATGCAGAGAGTTGAAAATGAAATCACGATGATGCAGTTCAGGTCCATGGAATTTGCCATAAGGCTTAGAGGTATTAAAGAGAATGATAGACAAGACTTGAGACAGATTTGTGCTGATGCTCTGGCTGTGCTGTTAAAAATTACCTCTGAGGAGATTTTTTATAAAATAGACAAAATTTACAGAATGAATTCGTGGGTGGCCAGACAAAGACAACTGCCTAGAGATGTGGTGATATATTTTACAGACAGAAGAATGAGAAATGATATTTTGCAAAAGTCTTTTCTCTCTGCTGTGCAAGTGGAGGGAGCTCAGATTGGAGTCTATAAAGAACTACCACCTAAGATGTTAAAAGATAGAAAAGATTTTGGATTTTTAGTGAATGAATTAAAAAAACAATAAATTCCATTCCGGTGGGATGCCCCAACTGGCATAATTTTGAGGTACAATGGAGAACGATATCGATTAAACACTGTTGAGAAGGCGGAACAATTCTATTTTACTGTTTTTAAAGAGAGATCACCATCTCCACGTACATTCACCGTGTTGGAGATAAAGGAGAGTGACAAGGAGAAGCAACTTCAGCAAGAGATGGAAGAGCAGCTTAAGCAGGTGGAACCAGAGGCAGCGGAAATGCAGGGTGCTGTAGGAGGTTTTCTGGAGGAGCCTCTGTTAGAGCCTTCTCCGATTCTGACTACAAGAGATGTGGCTTTGGACCTAGTCCGGATGGTTGAAGCTAAAGACCAGCGTGTAACTCGAGCAATTTCTAAGCAACTTAAAGAAAAGCAACAACAGAAAAGACCTAAGGCACAACAATATAAGAAGGGAGTCAAGAGTATTACACAAGAATGTGAAGCCATGGGGGGAGCAAAGTCGAAGACTTCAGAAGATATTCGGCAATTCTGCTCGTCGCTTCAAAAAAGTCTACATGACGATTAAGTTTCTATCTTGGAATGTGAATGGATTAAATTCTCCACAGAAAAGGAAGAAATTATTTACATATTTGAGACAATTTAATAATGATATAATTTGCCTACAAGAAACTCATGTTAGAACACAAGATCAAAAATATTTGATAAATTCAAAACTAGGAACACACTTCATAGCCTCAAATTTGGAAAAAAAGAATGGTGTGGTTATTTATATAAATAAAAGACTGTCAGCTAAAATTATAGAAGCAGATGAAGCAGGCAGGTTTATAGCAATCGAACTGCACACAGTAAGTGGCCAAATTCTAGTGATTGGAATTTATGCTCCTAATCAACAACAGGATCATTTTTACAAAACTTTGGACACTAAAATACTGCAATGGGATTATAGATCTATTTTAGTCATGGGAGATTGGAATGGAGTAATTGACACTAAAATAGATAAAAAGAGTTTGGCGAAGTCAAGGATTAGATTACCACAGACTTTTTTTGATATGAAAGAAGATCTGGAATTAAAGGACATTTGGAGAATATATAATCCAAAAGAATTGGACTTTACTTTTTTCTCTGATAGACATAGATCTTTTTCTAGGATTGACTTAATTTTATTATCAGATGATCTACTTGTCAAGACAAAAAGAACAAAGATTTTTCCAAGAACTCTAACCGACCATAGCCCAGTATGGATAGAAATTGAGATGGGAAAGATTGAGAGAAGATTATGGAGATTAAATGAAAATTTGTTTAGATATGAAAAAAATATAACAGAACTTAAAAAGCAGATGAAAGAATTTTTTGAAATGAATTTGAATAAGGGTACCCCGATTGAAATTGTGTGGGATGCGAGTAAAGCGTATATGAGAGGGGTACTCATTCATATGAACTCTAAACATAAATTGAATCGCCAAAAGAAAAGATCTGAAATGGAAGCAGAAATAAAGAACAAAGAACAGTTACTTATTAAAAACCCAACAGATGAAAGAATATGTGGTGCTATAAAACTTCTGAAAGATCAATTTCAAATGCTTATGGCGGAACAAACAGCAACAAATTTACAATATCGAGACATAATACATTTTGTAATGCTAACAAACCGGGCAGATGGTTGGCTTATACACTAAGGAAGAAGCAGAGTATACGGACTATTGATAGTATTGATATTGGAGGGAAGGAAATCTTTCCACAAAAATTAATTAAAGAAGTTTTTGTAGATTATTACACTAAATTATATGCTAAAGATGACATGCAGAATGGACTTATAGAAAAATATTTAGAAAATAAAAGAGTTACAAAAATTACCAATCAACAAAAGGAGAGAATGAATTATCCTATAACAGCTGAGGAGATTATTGCCGCAATCAAACAATTGAAAACAGCTAAAGCTCCTGGAACGGATGGTTTAACTGCGGTGTACTACAAAACTTTGCAAGCAGAAATGGTTGAACATCTTAGAGATTTATTTTGTAACATACAACAAGGGGGTAAAATACCCCCATCATGGAAAACAGCTTATATTTCTTTGATACCAAAAGAGCAAACAGGCCCTAAAAAACCTGAGAATTTTAGACCAATATCTCTTCTGAACAATGACTATAAAATATATGCAAAAGTATTAGCCAACAGGTTGATGCCAGTTATCCAAGAGGTGATTCATGGTGACCAAGCGGGACTTATAGAAGGCAGATATATGAAGGACAATGTAAGGCAAGTCATAGATTTATTGGAATATCTTGAGAAGAATAAACAGATCCCTGCAGTGCTGGTTTTTCTGGATGCGGAGAAGGCCTTTGATAGAGTGGATTGGAATTTTCTCTTAAAGACTTTTAAAAAGATGGACTTTGGGGATCAATTTATACAGGCGGTTTCAGCAATTTATCAAGAACAAAAGGCACAGATTAATGGAAGTTTAACAACAGATTTTAATATTGAGAAAGGAACAAGACAAGGTTGTCCATTATCCCCATTGTTATTTATTTTAACACTAGAAGTCTTGTTGAATACAATACGGGACTCGAGTACCTTGAAAGGAACAGTGATAAGGCAAGAGGACTACAGAATAAGGGCATTTGCAGATGATCTGGTTGTTACCCTAACACAGCCGTTGGAATCAATAATCCAGATGAAAGACATTATAAAAGACTATGGTATAGTATCAGGATTTAAACTGAACCAGAAAAAAACTAAGATGATAGTTAAAAATATGACACAAGATCGTAAACACGAACTTGAAAGGAGGGCAGGTTTTGAGATTGTACCAAAGGTTAAATATCTAGGAGTTCAGGTTGCAGAATCAAATATGAAATTGTTTCAAAATAACTATGAGGTGCTGTGGCGAGATGTACAGAAAGATATTCAGACTTGGAAAAAACTGCAGCTGTCTTTACTTGGAAGAATAGCAGCAGTTAAGATGAACATTTTGCCAAGATTTCTTTTTTTGTTTCAAATGATTCCGGTGCTTAAAAGCGATAAACAATTGAAAGAATGGCAAAGTGGACTGAATAAGTTTGTCTGGAATGAGAAAAAACCGAGAGTGAAATTGAAAATTATGCAAGATGTTCCAGAAAGGGGAGGTCTTAAACTTCCAAACCTACAGTTATATTATGAAGCAGCGGCTTTGACTCAAGCAAGCGATTGGTTTGGAAGGAAAAAGACCGGAATATTGAATATAGAAAGCTTCGATCTTGAATTTGGTTGGCATGCTTACTTATTTTATGAAAACAAAGTGGATAAAGTATTTAAAAGCCATATACTTAGAGACTCTTTGATGAGAGTTTGGAAGAAGCACCGACTCAAATGGGATTACAAAATACCGCTATGGCTGGATCTTGGTCATATTTTGTGGAATACAAATATAATGTCACTCGGGGGGTTTTTATATAAAGAAGTTCTTTTTACAGATGCGGGCAGATGGCAACTGAAGACATTAGAAACACTGTTGGTTGAAGGGATTAATCTAACTTGGTTACAGTATAATCAACTTCAACTGAGATGGAAAGAGGACCAAAAAATTGGTATAATGTTGCACGAGGAAGAATTGGTTAGACATATAAAAGAGAAAGGTCCAATGCATATTAAAAGGCTTTATAATGTTTTGTTAGAAAGGGATTCAGAAACTGAATTGGTTAAAGACTGCATGATTAAGTGGGCACAAAATTTTGCAGAACCAGTGATGTTGGAAACATGGGAAAAAATATGGGTTCAGAATGTTAAATTTACACAGTCGCAGAATTTGAGGGAAAATTTTTATAAAATGTTTTATAGATGGCATTTAGATCCTAAGAAATTGTTGTGCATGTACCCTAATGTTCAACCAAAATGTTGGAGATGTGATTGCTTAGATGCTACATATTATCATGTTTGGTGGACTTGTAAGAAAGTGAAGGCTTTTTGGATAAAAATTTGGTGGGTTATGCAGAATGTTTTGAAGAAAAAAATTCAGTTTTCTCCACAATTGTTTTTATTGGGTATAGTTAAGGGTTTTACATTGGGTGAAACAAAGTTGATATTGTATATGATAACAGCAGCGAGATTACTGATAGGTCAATATTGGAAAAATGAAGCCATGCCCACTATCGAGGAATGGACTTTGAAGATGGCCAGCTTTGCAGAGATGGCGAAGATTTCAGCATATCTAAAAGATCGCTCACAAGAGTCTTATGAATGGGAGTGGAAAAAGTGGATAGATTATGTGCAGAACAAATATCAAACTAGGAAGTATCAAATAGCTTTTAACTGAAAGTATTATATAAAGATAGAAATATTTGAATTTTGTGAAGATGAAAAAATATATTGGGGGTGGAGGGGTTCAAGTTTTATAAAAAGGGGATTTTGATTTGGATTATATTCTGTGGAAGTCCGGGGGGAGGGGTGGGTTAGGGGGGGTTAGGGAGGGTTAGGGGGGGTTGGGGAGGGTTAGGGGGGGTTGGGGAGGGTTAGGGAGGTTAGGGAGGTTAGGGAGGGATGGGGGGGAAATGGGGAGAAAATGTAATTGTAAAACTTTTTCAATAAAAAAAAAGATAGGGCAAAAAACGTAAAATGTGAGGACAGTCGTAAATTCGAGGACTGGTCAAAAGTGCGAGGACCAGTCAAAAATAACTTTTTCAGCCCTCTGAGTAGTCCATATGCACAAAAGGATACAGCAATAGAGAGGGATGAAGGAAGGGAAGGGAAATTAGAGTAGGAGGGAGGGTAAGAGAGAGAGGAAGAGAGGAGAAGGAGAAAGGAAGAGGAAGTAGGGAGGAGAAGAAGAGGGTGGGGGGAAGAGAAAGTAAGAAGGAAAGAAAAGAGAGAGGTGGTAGGTTTGAGGAGAAAGATTGCTGTACAATAAAAAAGATGAAAGGGAAGAAAGCCAACCCCAAACAAATATAAAGATATTAAGATAAAGAATGAATTGTTAAACTTTAAAGAATAAAAGAGAACAAATATGAATAAATAGCAATAATTAGAAACACACATACAAACATACAATGTATTTTCTTTGAACAGAATATTTGGCTGGTTCACAAATTTAAACAGGGTTTAGTCATTTCAATTAAATTTACAATTTCTATATTTCCTTTTTGCCATATTTATTCCCCATCTATTTTTTTAAAAAAACAATATTAGCCTTCATCCTCATCTCTAATCTTAATCAAATTCAATTTTTCCCTTCTATTCTATATTATACCCCTTCCCATTGTCATCTATTTTTATATCCATCCTCACATTGGTTAATTATGTAATTATGTAATACAGTTGTTTAATACAAATTCAACATTTTAATATAAATCAATTAGTTATATAACTATCTTTTTTGTATATTAATCAATATGAACATGAATATTCCAATTATTTCCATGCAATCCAATTTCTTACAAATCAATTAATTATATTTACCAATAATAATAAACCAAATAATTTCCCCCATATATTCCTCCAAACCACAATTTAACCATTTCTGCTTTCAACACAATATACAATTAATAGTATCTCAATTATTACAATTCCCTAGTTAAACAGAGCTTTTTTTCTTTTGTGTTTTAAAATCTTGAACTCTCCTCTTTTGCCCTAAATTTCCCATTGTTTGCACCTACCTTTTTTGGTGAGGAAAAAGAAAAGAAATCTGCTGCCTAATTTTCCAACGTTGCAGCAAACAAGCCAACAGCCTGTTTCACTTTCAGTTTCGTTTTGAGCTTGGTTTGCACAAGGAGAAAAAAAAATCTGCTCGAAATTTAGCAAGCAGCAAGAGCCCTGCGCAAAACAGCTGAGAGTGGGGAAGCCGAGCTAATCAACGTGCTAACTAACCTACACGGAAGCTGTAAGGGGCTGTTTTTTCTATTTTTGCAGGCATTGGTCTACTCATTTGTTTTCTTTTAACACAGAACAGCTGTAGGGCGGCCCTTTGAAGCCCCACGGCAAGAGTTTAAACAGTTTTTTTTCCTCTAGCCATCAGCTGGGACTCAGGAGGCAGAATGAAAAATCGGGACTTTTTTAAAATGCCGCGGGACGCGGGACAAATTGCTAAAAATCGGGACTGTCCCGCCAAAAGCGGGACGTCTGACCTATACAAGGTCAAATTTGTTCCTCCCAGAAAAAAGGAGGAAATGTAGTGCAAAAAAATGGGCCTTTTTTGTACTACATTACATTTGCCAGAAATACTAAGGAACATGATACAGTGTTACTCTTTGAGATTTCTATCCCATCTAATTTTTTAATTATCTAATTTTATTATTTTTGAAGTTGGCATACCACCAAGCAGATGCTCTTTGGTCATAAAGACATATTTAAAGGGGGGGGGAGATTAGTGTTTTGTTTGAAAATGTGCCTACCTGCTCAGAAAAGTAATAAATTAATGTTAGGACAACAAAAAGGATCTAAACGGTTAAAGTGTAACTGGTATTTTGACTAGCTGTGTCTCCCATAGCAACTATTTTGCCAAAAGTGGGAGTCCTCATACTTTCCATTGGGAATTGATGTTTGCTATACATTCTCAAAATTCCCAAAGTTTCAAAAGAAACAAAATTAGTACCAAACCTTGTCAGAGAATTAGTTTCAGCATAACAAAATTCTCTTAAAAGAACCAGAAATATCTAAGCGAATTCTAAACCTGCAGGAAGTATGAATTGTACATTCTTCATTGCTACAGATTATGATGATTTCCTTACCATTCGTTTCATGTTGCTAGCTGGTGGGTCCACACTTGATCGGAATCTATTATGCACTCTGACACATTCTTCAATAAAGTGTGCATTTTCAATATCCGGTAAGGTATGTTGGGTATAAAAACAACAGCACACTTGCAGTTTCAGGAACAATAAAACACCAAAGATCAGGCTTTTTTCTATCATTCTGGACTGCTACACAATGAGCCAAAATATTTTAAACAAAAGTTACAGGCAAGTCCTTTAGGCTATTCCGTTTGACAACTTCTGCTTGGCTTTATTTCATCTTTCTTGGTTCCTGTTGGCACCCGGAAATGAATTGAACAAATACCTTCGAGCTGAAAGTAGAGCCTAGTGATGAGTCATTTTCACCCACTGAATTGCTCCTTTTCTTACACTCTCTTGTATAATCCTTCCTATCTTGTATGTAAATCTTAAGTAATGAGAGAACATTAACAGTGTCCTGTGATTTATATTGGGAAGTCAACTAATTTTTAAAAATTCATTGTTTTTTTATGGTTTGCATTAGGTGTTGAAATCCAAACTTAAAATTAAATATCAGGAACTTAAATGGTTTAAGATGCCAGATCTTATCAGTAAAACAAAACAAAACAGAGAGAGTAAATAGTATATATAGAAATATAATTGTCCTGTATTTCTACCAATTGTAATGAATCAGTTCTTGCTGTACTTGGATAATGGAGCTTTTCTACATTTGTCAAGGCAAGTTAAATGTTATATTGTAGCTGGAAAGAGTTGCATCATCAGAAAATGAATAAACAGGAAAGATAATGAAACACATACACATGCATACACACAAAAGCAGGGTTGTTTGACCAATGAATTAATTGATGTTAGCTATTTAACAAAATTGTGATGAATTCTGGCCTAGAACCAAATTCCAAATTTAGAATGGTATCTTCTCACAACAAAATATCTACTGGATTGTAGACATAATTTTGCCTCCAAGTATATAAAGAAAATATTATCAAAATTTTAAAAAATTACTAAATTTCTATTTTTCAATTTATTCTATTTTCCAATTTATCCTAAGAAATATTTTTTTTTTCCTCAGAAATTTTCCACATTTGTTTTTTGGCTTGCTCAGAATGCCTGTCAAAAAAGTTGCCCAGTCAAGTTAGGTTTACCTCTTTGCTATCCTATGGTTTGGGGTAAGTAAGTTTTTATCAGATTTACTACAAAGATTGCACACTTACACAGCACTGTATTAGGAGACAACCCATCCCTCACCAATGTTCTTTATTCAGATGTAAAGTCCCAGTCACTATCTTGATTGCTGCTACAATTATCACATTATTGTTTCCATGTTCAGATTGCTTCCAGATCAAACTGATAATGGAGAGACAATTAAATGATGTTGAAGAGCATAATTTCCCCAGTGAGACTTTGTTTTTGTTTGAATCAAGAGTTTTAACTGCTATATTATGTTTATTTCTTTACAATAAATAGAGCAGAAGCAGTTATTAAAGTTATTAAGAAAACAAATTGATGTTAGGGGTAATTCCTGACTCCGTTGTTACATCCTCAAACCCCCCACAGCTTCAACTTTAAACCGTCTACCGTGGACCTCACCCCATTCCTAAGAGGTCCGTAAAGGGCACCAGCGTGCCTACCGTCCCAGTCCTACGGTCCCCATTTATTTGTACTCATTTCCTATGTTCATGTCCATGTTTATACTAATACCTGTTATCTTGTACATGTTTGAATATATATATATATATATATATATATATATATATATATATATATATATATATAATATATATATGTATGCATATTCTTTCTAGCCAGGTTTTACCTACGTAAACTAAGTTGTTACAGCCCTGGTAGAACAACTTAGTTTACGTAGGTAAAACCTGGCTAGAAAGAATATGCACATAAAAGCCTACGAAAAAGAAAAAGACATATATATATATATATATATATATATATATATATATATATATATACATACATACATATACATATACACATATACATATATATATATACATACACACACACACACACACACACACCGTATTTTCCGGTGTATAAGACGACTGGGCGTATAAGACAACCCCCAACTTTTTCTGTTAAAATATAGGATTTGGGCTATACTCGCCGTATAAGACTACCCCTCTTCCAACGCACACCAAATAAAAATTAAAAAACATCAACTGGCTCACCCACAATGTAAAAGCAGCTGTGCTAGACCCAAAATGGCCCCTGCAACAAGCAGGAACCTCACACAGCCACAAAAAGCCCCAAAAAACCAACTTTCACACTTTACACACATACAACATAACACAACACAACTGGCTCACCCACAATGTAAAAGCAGCTGTGCTAGACCCAAAATGGCCCCTTCAACAAGCAGGAACCTCACAGCGCCACAAAAAGCCCAAAAAACCAACTTTCACACTTTACACACATAAAATTCCACATACAGCTTTGTGAGATTTTGTGTTTGTGTAGTTAGAGTGAAACACTACAGAAACACACTAAATCTCAGAAAGCTGCACAAATATTATTTTATTTTATTTTTATATGAAAGCTAAATTTAAAACTTCCTAAACTTTAAATGGCTAGGTCTAAAAAAGAACAACTTAAAAAAAAACCCAATTAACTATTTTTTTTTAAAGATCCCAAAGGGAAAAAAATCTTACCCAATAGAACAGGGGTCCCCAACGTTGGCAACTTTAAGACTTGTAGACTTCAACTCCTAGAATTCCTCAGCCAGCTTTGTTTTGCTGAGGAATTCTGGGAGTTGAAGTCCACAACTCCCTGCCTGCTTGATTGCAGGCAGGGAGTTGCTTGCTGATGGAATGGATTCAGGCAAGTGAAGCAAGGCAAGCGTTGCGACTAGCAGCTAAGGTAAGCAAGCTGGAGGGGAAAAACTTTTTTCCTTTTACATGGCTCTGGCGATCCAAGCTGAATTGCCTGATTAGCAGGCAACTCAGCTGGGATCGTCAGGGCTTGGATCGCCAGAGCCATGTAAAAGAAAAAAAGTTTTTTCCTTTTACATGGCTCTGGCGATCCCAGCTGAGTTGCCTGATTAGCAGGCAACTCAGCTGGGATCGTCAGAGCTTGGATCGCCAGAGCCATTTAAAAGAAATTTTTTTTTCCTTTTAAATGGCTCTGGCGATCCCAGCTGAGTTGCCTGATTATATGCCCACCATCTCAATTCTAGTGAGATTTGAAAAAAGTCTTTCACCTTGAAAGACTATAACCCTAGAAACCATAAAGAAACAAGAGTTCTTGCAAATGGGGAAATAGACCACCTGCGAATTCCAATATTTTCTTGTACTTTAAAAAATGTAAGATTTCTCAGCTTATCTCCTGAATACAGCTGAGACCATGAAATACCATCAATTCAAAGTTCCTTTGGAAATACCTAAAAGGAGAGCCACGGTGGCGCAGTGGTTAGAATGCAGTACTGCAAGCTACTTCTGCTGATCACAGGCTGCTAGCAGTTTGGCAGTTCTGGTCTTACCAGGCTCAAGGTTGATTCAGCCTTCCATCCTTCCGAGGTGGGTAAAATGAGGACCCAGATTGTTGGGGCAATATGGTGACTCTGTAAACCTCTTAGAGAGGGCTGTGAAGCACTATGAAGCAGTATATAAGTCTAAGTGATATTGCTATTTCTAAGGGTCCTAGTGTATCTGTGTCCTAAAATGACCTATATAAACTGGAAAATTGGAGCTGCAAACATACTAGGCAAAAAGTAGCACTACCGTATTCCTTTTAATGTGTATTTCCCATAATGTGCCTGCTTACTCTCTTGTAATTCCTTCTTTTCCAATGAAAGTAAAAATAAGTATTAATTCCTTTCTTCCTAATTATCATAGCTAGGGGGTGGGCTTTTCTGAAGAGCAATGGATTAGGGAAAAGAAAAGCTGAAGTAAAATCATAAGCACAGTCATGGTCACATGATCTACTTAATGACTATATCACTTAGTAACTAAGTTGCTGGTCCTAATTATGGTCGCTAAAAAAGGACTATCTGTACTCCATAGCTCATGGTATCTGTGTTGCTCTCTGAAGAAATGTTAATTTTTCATGCTTTGCCCTAGGTTTCTATGGTTCTTTTTGATGTTTCAGCTTTTTTTTTTAAAAAAAAGCTATAGATGACTTTGTTTACTGGTACTGGCCATATAATCAAGATAAAATTGTTTTATTGAAGATGGGTAATTTTACTGTAAATGACCTAGAGAATTTTGGCTGTTCCTTTCCCTTCCCCTCCCTTCCCTTCCCTTTCCTTCCCTTCCCTTCCCTTCCCTTCCCTTCCAATTCACTGTGGTCAGCCAGAATAGAGGCTGTATACATATAGGGAAAACATGGTAAAGTCATTATACAAAAATATAAGCCTGTGTTTTATATCAAATATTTTGGATTGAATATAGAAAGAGACTCATAATTTAGACTGAATTTAACAAACTGAGCAATCAGCCAAATTTCATTTTTAGATTATGTGTTATACCTTACATGCCAATTGCACTATTTGCAACAATTTCAACTGGTATAGACTACATGTAATGAGAGGATAGGGAACCACATACTGGTTGTGGTATGAATAGGAACAACAAATGTATGTACATATGATATGCAGAATATAATTCAGTATGCCAATATTGTTTTTATCAAACTTTTTGTCAGAATGATGGGGAACTTTATTAGTACAGTACTGTATTAGTATAGTAAACAAGAGCTGTGGTGGCAGTGGTTAGAATGCAGGAATACAGGCTAATTTTGCTAAATCTAAATGCACTTCCTGAGCAACCATCAGCCACACAATTGTGTCCTATTCAATAATCATATATAAGTGCCTTCTGAACATGACTGCTGCTGCAATCATACATACTTGAGTTTAACATATACAGAAGGTATGTGCAGTTTATCACATTAACATTTATTAATCACAACTCCCTTGTTTTAATATACATGTTTACAAAACATGGAACACAATAAAATATTTTGTTTTATATTTGTATCATCAGAATAAAAAAGCATTAAGAATTTGACAAAATTCCATAAAAATAATGAATTGAACCAAATCTACTTTTAAAAAATAGAACAGGAAAATAATGTAACAATTCATGTAAATATAATCTTATAATTAACCAAAGTAGTCAAAGTTTTATGCATATAAAATACTGAAGATTATTTAGAAAAACTTAAACCCGGATAATAGATTTGTAAGCAATAAACAGCAGCAAATGCCAGAAACATTAACAATGGCCTTAAAACCGCAACAGCAATGCAAGATGGATCACAAATAATCCGCCTTTCAAATGGTGGATACCATCGTGAATAGCCTAGGATAAAAAAAGAGAGAGAGTGTAATGATCCTCTTTTCCAAGTAAATTTAAAATATAAAAGGCAATTGTAATACATA